AAAATGTGTCACAATATTCAAAACAAAGAGTAGAACGTTAAAAAAAGTGATTTTTGAGCGCTACAAATGTAGTCGAAACCAATTTCTTAAATAAATAACTGAACCTTGGTGGTGAATTATGAATCTAGAGTTTTAGTGTCTGTGGACACTCCAACTTGGTGACAGTTTCCAGCCCAGTGCTGCAGAACACGATGTCCCTCTGGGAAAGCCTGCGACATGAGAACGGTGTACCATCCCTTCCTTCTCGTCTTCCTTGGGAGCAAGGTTCACCGGGTTGATTCGTGTCTGGGGCACATGGGCAACATCAGGAGGCTCACGAATTCAATTAGGATTTGTTTTGAAACGGTGCCAGAGCCCAAACAGTGGCCCGAGGGTTTTCCCTTCAAATGTCTTCCAATGCAACCTGGTTTCCATAGAAACGCAGCAATAAGACACAAAATGTGCCCTGTCAGCTCTCATCATTTACTCCCAGGCAAAAACAAAACGCTTTGTTGGGTGCTCTGAGGATCACAAGCACAACTCCAGGCGACAAACAGCAGTGTAAGGGCCTTCCGAAGCATGAAATGGAGCCAATTTACAAAGCCTCGGTGCGCTGTTTTTGTTAAATACTGGGGTGGCGTTGCCCTAGAATGGAAAACCATGCAAACACTTGCTAATTTAACCACATACAAAGGCAAATCAAGAAGAGTGAGTGTTAACTGGACAGAGCAGGCCTCAATTAGCCTGTGTCGAGTCCACCCCCGCACCTCTGACAGCTGATATTTTCAGGACAATGGGAAAAGCGCTGATAGGAACTGGCATCACAATCAGTGGCTGGCTTTAGCTAGAGCTCAACCGTTCTGTCAGATCATTCCTTTGAACTAGATCCTCATTCTCCTATGAGCGCGGTTAGGTGGAAGAATGCGCGGCAAAGTGTAAATCTTTGGTAGCGAGCATCAGGTGAGGATTTATGCTAATGCAAACACTGAAAGTCTATCGCCTTCCAGTCCACTAAAGCCTGGCAATTTTTCTTTAAGATCAGTTACATCGGCTTGAATAAATCAATCTGACAGCTGAGCTCGGAAGGGAGAGCTCTGTAGCTTAATAATAGTTCTTTAAATAAATATCAGCATGACTCAAAAGTTTGGACCACAACAAAATTGATGTCAAACTTTTGTGCCACAATTATGGAAACGTATATTTTTTGAGGGTGGACAAATTTCAACAATATGACCTCAATAACAAGATGATAGGCTACACCGTTTCATTTGAGATATGTCTGTGACAAATTTGTTTGCAAAATTTTGCAAACAAAAAATGTGTTTTCTGTGTAAACATTTTTTATGTTTTTGATCATCAATTAAAAACAATGTTTTGAATGTTTCTGTTTCGAAAGACGCAACCCAACTATTGTTTAATTTTGATTTCAAATATAATTTGTAGGTTTCAAAAAAGTTGAGTTTGGATATTTTTGGTTTTAAATGAACATTTCAGGGTTATGATACATTTATCATAGACGTCTATCAGTTACCCAAGGATAACCCTTGGAAGTGCAAAACTTGTGATATGGCTTTTGTTTTTCCAAATTCTGGCACAAAACAAAGCAAAATGGAACAAAGTTTTTTAAAGTTTTAACTTGCCTTTGCTTTTTGGGGGAATTTACGAATTTTTATTTTGTCTCAACACTTATGACTTTTTGTTGTAAAACATAACATCAGTTCATTCTCAATTTTTGAGATTTTTGCAGTAAAGAAATTACAAAAGGTAATGCTCCGAATTGTACTTTCTGTCCCATTTCAGGATTTCTGTGGAATTTTCGTGTAATGTAATGAAAAAATATTTGTTAAAAACAGACACTGTGGTTGTACTAAAAACAGATACTGAGCATTGCCACCAAAAAAATCTGTTTTAAAGGTAATTAGAGCTAATTATAAAGTATGACAATGATGGAGAAAAAAGAGAAGTAGAGGTGAACAACCACGGTGTTAAAAACACATCTTGGCGCTTCCATTCAGGTTTTTTTTTTTATTTTGTTTGCAATATTCTTAAATGGGTGAATGGAAACCAATTTCATTATCATGGGCACCTCTGGCCATGATCTGCAGGCTGTGGTGGACACACTTGGTTGGAAGTGCAAACTAAATGGACTACATATCCCACAATGCACCTTTCTCAGTTATTAGTGTTTCCCAGGTGTCTTGCTTTTCGTTTTTTGACTCATCCCCTGAGTAGCTAGTTTTATCCTTCTCTTGGCCAGCTTTATTTTTAGACTTCTCCAAGATCGCTAAGATCGTGTTTGGATCTGTACGACTACATTAGACATGACAAGTTCAATGCAGAGGAGCATTTCTGTTAGAAGTGTATCTTCAAGATCAGCTGCAGACTCCAGCAGTTCAGAGGTAATGCTAGCCGAACACGGTTGATGAACTATGTTCCCTACTTTTACATTTTATTGGCATTTTGGTGAAAGATCAAGAACAATTCCATTTGCTTAGTAAACAAGGAAGAGAGCGCCATAACTGGCCGAACCGATTGAAGGGGAATGACTGGAGATATCTTATCTTCCTCTTAGAAGCTCAGGAGGATGCCTTGTGTTCTTTTTAATTGTCATGTATGAATGTTAGCCATGTTTTGGATAATTTAAAGACTTAATTTTCTTTATTAAGTTTCTGCTAATGTGAGTTCAGTCCATAGAGCTTTGTGCCAGCAACGTAAACATCGCGAGGAAGCAAGAACTAACCAAATGTGGTAATTTCTTCAAATGATAAAAAAACATCTGCGAATGTGTAAATAAAAAAATCCAAGCTCTTAAAAAATGCTAGTTTGATGTCTTTCAGTGGACCCTCTCTTTTTACATTTAAAGTACTGATTTTTAAGAACGAAATACTCCCCTTAATCAATATTTAATTTTTTAATTTTTTTGTTTTTACATAAACCTGAAAAATATATTAAATTAAAGCTGCAAGCACCGCTATCACCCTGTTTGCAATTTGTTGCACTATGTGTTTTGATCAATCGACCAAATTTCAGAAACGTGTAAAACAAGGTCTCATGACCACCAGGCGACACACTATGACTTGAGACTTAAACGCTTTGCAATGTTACACATGCCAATTTGGTAAAAGAAGTACAGTAACAATCTTAATTGCTGCATTTCCTGTGGCCACCTGGTGGCGCTGTAGATACTGTAGACACAGTTTAGCAAAGTCAAAAGAGCTTCACAATTTAACATCCCATATGACTTTGGTTTAGACTGTTTGAGATTGGAGGTGAACAGAAGAATCTCCAGGAAGAGTTCGTTAAAGTCTGACGCAACGGGCATTTTTTGAGGTTTTCGTGAAATTGCAGACTTTCCGGTGGTTTTGGAAAGATAATCTATATTACTTTTATTTAGTCTTGGTACTGTACACATGTGTGCCCAATTTCATTTGCCAAACGTTTACTGTGATGGTGCTAGAGAGACTATAGGTGCTATTTTCACCACTTCTCACATTTTTCTGACTTTCAGGCACATTTTGGCTCTTGAAAATCTTCCAAAAGCTGCTAAACAAGAAGTTTCTAGGGTTACAAAAGGGTTCTAAGCAATGTTGGTGCTCGAGCCTGAAAAATAAAACGTACTCTTAAGCAATCAACTGGTGAAATGCACAACCCTCTTTGTCGGCTAAAAGTAAAAGGATCTCTTCCCTCAGCCACTAAATCGAAGCTCATGATCTCAGAGTCTTTCTCATTGCGTCTGTACAGTGGGGTAAATGCCTAGATATCCCCACACCACATCCAGATTATTTTTAGATCACTTCATTCCTAGCTTTTTTTCCCCTCTGCAATATTAAATCCCTGGACCTCAGACTGGCAGTGCACCATAACAAACTGATCGTAATCTTCGATTCAAACGTTAAAATTCTGGAGGCAAACATGTGTCCCAGTGGTTGAAAGACTCCATCCTCGTTTTTACATTTATTCTTGTCAGCGAAACTGATCTGAGGAATTTTTTTCCTCATATGAAATGATATTCCATACCCAAGGGCCAAGAAGATTTTCAAGGCTGTCATCAATCATTTCCAAAGCTCAGAGTCCCGCACACAACGTTTCTGCAGAGACCCAAAAGACAAATTGTATCAATGAAAACAAACTATGAAGAACTTCCCCCTGAATAAGTAATTTTGTTGGAGCTTCAAGGACGTATCATTCTTGGGGAACCTTGAAAATAACACATTTTACAGCTGAAATACACTGTTGATACTAGGATGAGGTGATTCTCTCATCAAAAATACAGTACAGAGAATTGAACCGAACTTTACAGAATGTAGATTTTAAATATTGCGAATAAACACAGTTTTACATGAAATCTGAAAGCAAAAAGCAAATAAGGGCATGTTGTTAGCAAATACAACAAGGTCATTCTAAATTAGTACCAAATAGAGACATGTGTTTCATGGTATATCAAGAATGAGTTACAAACATTTCACAGCTTTAATGAAACCTTGAATGAAAATCGCACTTTTTAAAATGTGTGTGTTTGCAAATCCCACAAATACAAAAAACTTTTTTTACCATCTTTTTTTAACTTCTTAACCATCACCTAAAATCATCAGCTGTTGTAGAATCCTGTCCAGTCATTCCCATTAATCTGTCCAAATGTTTATCATCAGACTCTCCCAGTTAGCGTTCGTTTACCATGTACCCATGGCTTCAAAAGTCTGTGTGATGCCCTTGTGATCCACTTTTTATTTGTGAAAGAAATGAACTGAAATGTTTACTTGCATGTTTTCACTGCAGACTGCTTTGTGAAGGTGGTGGGACCATGTTTACAAGAGGTTTAACTGCAAGAGTTGGGAACTGTACCAAACGTGTTCCAGTCTTAACTCCAGAACTGGTGAGTGCATTTGTTTTAAAAGAGTATTTACACTATTTTTCGTAGAAGAAAATGGTTTGTCAGCATTTCAAAGAGTAAAAACATTCAAGCAAAATTACAAAAATAAAAAAATGTTATATTTACAGTTACAATTATGCATTTTAACACATTTTTGCTTTCCCTGGGATTTGAACCCACAAGCTTTGTGTTTTTAGTGCAGTGCTCTACCAACTGAGCCGCAATATATACATATATATATATATATTGATTGTATAATTATTCACGGAAAATCAACATTTTCTAGATGATTATAAGGGTCTGGGCTCAAGAAATGGCCCTGCATTTTGGTATTCCCCATACTCCTTGGAATACCAGGCTAATTTTACTTAATCTGACTCTAGAGAACCAAGTTATAAAAGCGAATTGCATTTATTGGAATTTTTAAAGGACTTATATTTATACAAAACGTAAAAATGCAACATTTTTACATCAACTGAAAAGGAATTGGTAAACAAGAAAATGTGTAAATGGAGTTGGTAAAGCCAATTAAATACAAAAAACATACATGTATAAAAAAAAAACTTCTAGTAAACAACTGGTCGTGAGTATGAAGCAAAGCACAATATAAAGCTCCACCAATGATGGTCCCTTGACAACCCTAAGTAATCTGCTTTCCTCCTACCTGAATGTCTCACAGGAGAGTTCACATGGCTTAGCAACGGACTGCATGCATACACACAGTAATAAATTCCTGAACTCACATCCTTTATTTGACACGGTGTGATTGTCTGGAGTGTTTATCGATCTGATTCTTCCACAGAGACCTCTTTGAAATAGAAGTTACAATTCACAGAGCACCGCAGCACAGCCTTACATCCACATTCCTTTGTTAGCGATAGCAAGCCAGCATTTTTGCATTCGAAAATGAAACCGGTGATCATTGGTGGTTTTTATCAGGAAAGATTCAGTTTAACCAGAACAATAATGACCAAAATCACAGAGAAATGATGTTCTTAATGATGAATCTTAATTAATTATTACAATTTTATCACCTGAAACGCTAAATTAGTATGTGGTTATTAAAGGAAATGCTTGGAAAACATTGACACGCACTGATGGGGTAGAGTTGCAATCATTATTCACGTCTGCAATATGTTTATTCAGGTCTCTGCATACATCTGCATCTAAAGCAACTATTTCAGAAGAGGAAATTATTAATCATGCCGAAACCCTGGTTGATATGTAAAAATGGTTGTATTTATAGGGTGTACAGCCACTTATCCATTTAAACACAAAATTGAGTAAAAGCCAAGCAGGGGGAAAGGAATAAAACATCAATGGGCATTTTTATTGTTATGCATTGATTTACCGGCCAATCCTCAGCTCAAAGAGGAATTGTGATTGAAATTTTGTTCAAAGACGTTTGAGTAGTGGATTTCTGAGAGATTCATTCAATTCAAACAATGTCTATAATATGCTAACATTTATATTAGCTTTGTAGATTTTGAATTTGTACAATCAGAAAGGTCTAGTATTTAGCCGGTATCTGTTGGCGGGTCCTATTACCTCAGTTTAGAGGCTGTTTTGAATGAAGTAGGGATAGCAACCCAGCTATTGTTTAGTTTTGATTTCAAATGTAATGTGTAGGTTTCAAAAAGATTCTTAGCTTTGGTTTTAAATGAACATTACAAGAGTTATGACACTTAGTTTGCAAGGCGTATCAAATTAAATGTGAGAAATTGACTCCAAACCGATCCCATCAGTGCCATCTAGTGGTGAAAAGAAGGGAGAACGCTTGGAAATATAATAACTGTGACATGGCATCATGTCAAAAGGCACATTTTTCACATAGTTTTGATCTTGGTTCTTTTTTCGCACTACTCAGAATTAGACAATTTCAGGATTGTTCTGGAATTATTGTGTAATGTAACAAGTTTAATGTAGTTTTATAAAATTATTACAAAAATGCCCAAATGTTTTAAATGTAACTTGTTAAAGCAAATTAATTGTAAACTAGTAAAAATTTCTAACGGTTAGTGTGTTTTATAAAAGTCTCCCTACGTTAAAAATCTTTCAGTGAAAGCTAAACAATAGGGGTCTTATACCTCGATATTATGTCTATGATACGCATCATGATATATTACACTAGTTTTAACCAAATATTGAAACTGTTTATATAACAATCATTAAAAAAATTTTGAGTCTAGTTTCGTTTGTATGAGAGCGTTTGATACCATTCATCCACTAGGGGGCAGTATTAATGCTTGTATTAAGTAATCTTTTTCACTCGAAGTGACGGAGAGAGCATTTTTTTTTATCTTACTTAAAATGTGAGTAAAGATAATTTCATCTTAGGTAATTTTACATAAAACAAGAAGAAAAAAAAAGACGATATTTCCCAGTAGCGATATTTTGTGCCACGATATTTTGTTACACGCCCTACTAAAGAGCATGCATTTAATATTCGTTTTTTGCAAAATAACTGTTATGGTCTAAAACATTAAGGTTAAATTTGGCTTTCTGAAACAATATAAACATTTTTAAAAAATACAATGCAATAGTTTTTATCCTTTTTCATGCACGGCACTGCTTTTTTTTTAATTCTTTAATACCAATATATTTATTTATTTATTTATTTATTTTTTGTTGGCTCCATAGCTTGTATGCATGGTTGCAATTTGTGTTATTTAAACAATAAAAAAGTTAAATACGGGCAGTTCTTTCTCTAAACACCAGTCACATGTGGAAGTGACCAGCAAGAACAAGCCTTTCATATTTATTTTTAGCTTGCTATATTTAGGTCTGTCAATTAACTGTATGGGCTAGCAATAAAAGAGCAGCCGTCTGTCCCTATAGTCCGTGTAATAACTGACCCCGGCGCACACATCTTCTCATTACACCCATCCTAGACTTTAATTGGTTCTTACAGAAGTGACATACTCCACATTTATAGATTTTTTTCACATAGAGAATAAACAAGTCCTGGAAATTATTGAGGCAGATGCCACTGGAAGGACAACAGGAGGTTTATAGGAACACTGCGAGATTTATGTGACATGGAAGATGTGATAAAGTTTTGTTGGTACGCCACACATATTTCCTAGCAGTTTATGGGAGCTTTTATTTGCAGACAAATTAGTAAATTAACAGAGTTTCATGCGTTTAAAATGTAAACTGATGGTTCATAGAGTGATTGACTGTGATTATTGATAAGACAGACAGATATTGTGATATCTATTTAATCACATCGTGAAGCATAGATCCTTTAATCTTCAACCCATTTTGTCCATTTCATTGTTAAAGCAGCACATCTTGAGACCCCTGTCTGTGTTGAAATCTTTGTTTGCGAAGGCCCATGTTGTTGCAGGATAACTACCTTGGTCGAACATGACAAGACTGTTTCAGTTTGGCTGTTCTGCTTTCAGTTTTACACCTCCTTCACAGCTGTTTCTGTTTCAGTATTTGTTGGTAATACACCTGACTGTAATCCTAAAAAAAATCTCTGACTTGACCAAGTATTGATTTGACTTATAGTTTTGCTTTCATTCGCCCTCTTTGCATTTTGTGAGAGTTGCACACTAAACTCCTGGAGATTTTATTGAGGCTTTTTTTTGAGTCTTGTTTGATTTGTATGAGAGCATTTGATACCATTCATCCACTAGGGGGCAGTATTAATGTTTGTATTAAGTAATCTTTTTCACTCGAAGTGACGGAGAGAGCATTTTTTTATCTTACTTAAAATGTGAGCAAAGATAATTTCATCTTAGGCAATATTACATAAAACAAGAAGAAAAAATAAAGAAGTTTCAGAAGTGACTAGAATCACAATAGCTCCAAGAAGCAAATACACTTCAGCTGCTAGACGATATTTCCCAGTAGTGATATATTGTGGTACGATATTTTGTTACACGCCCTACTAAAGAGCATGCTGTTTTCAACCTCCTCTTGGTTGTAGTGTTTGACTGTTCCTCGTTCAGTTTTACACCTCCTTCACAGCTGTTTCTGTTTCAGGTCATGACTGGGATTCCACCTATTTTGACTTTAGCATTTATTTGGTATAATTTGTTGGTAATACACCTGACTTTAATCCTAAAAAAATAAAAAAATAAAATTCTGACTTGACCAAGTATTGATTTGACTTATATTTTTGCTTTGTTCGCTCTCTTTGTGAGAGTTGCACACTAAACTCCTGGAGATTTTATTGAAGCTTTCAGCTCTACAGCTGAAAGTTCAAGCATCTCCTGCCAGATTAAAGCGAATTACTGAGAGTCGTTGATTTTAATCATTATCGAGTAATTCTCGAGGCAAACTTGAAGGTAAAATCAACGCTTTTGACATCGCTTCCTGTCAAATCTGTCTATGTGGATTACTCACATCCAGCAGCCCTCAGGCTGTCCCAGAATCAGCTCAAGTGAAGGTCAGAAAGTTAGTTTCTTTGTACGATCCCATTGGTTGTGTTTGTAAAGTGCTGAACAATCATTTGCTCTGATGGCTTAGGGTCTGGATTCTTTCAGTGCGTTGACTGTTTGGCCTGAAATAAACATCATGTCAGCACAGGGGAGAGCAATGCCTCATTTCACTGATCCTCGATTCGACAGTGGCATGACAGTGGGAGTCATGGGGCTGTTGGGCAAAACATCACACCACATTAGGCCTGACATGAAGTGCGCAGGAGCCTGTTTTGTGCGTATTCACTGCAGAATGAATCAAAGCTGAGGCTACATAGCATTGTGGTGTATCTAGAGTGTGGAATTGTGACCTAAGGGAATCAACACATACCTTTTCAGAGAATTGATTATTTGCTTTCATCTGGCCTTGAGTCATGTGACGTGTGAGAGTTAATGAAGATTGATGCTGTTGAATTGAATTTCATAGAACAGCAATGCTGCTGATTTTCCAGGTTGCTTACGATAGGATCAGCAAATAAAGAGTAATTAAATGTAATAAAAATGAGAATAAACGCACCCACTGCTGGTGATATCTCGAGCTCACTTTTTGCACTCCTAAAGGTATCGTAAAACATCAATGGTTTGGATTCTCTTTCCATATTTAAACTGGAGATTGCAATTAAAAAATGTTTTACTCATAAAATGTGATTTGTTTAAGTTGCTGTAACAGAGATGTAAAGGATATTATAGCCATATACACCGCCCGGCCACTTTATTAGGTACACCCGTGCAACCTTGAATGAAAATCACACTTTTTAAAATGTGTGTGTTCGCAAATCCCACAAATACAAAAAAC